TTGATAATATCCCCATCTATTTCACCATCACTCTGAACAATAATAACGACTTGATCGCCCAAAGTCACAATCCCCTCACTAGGTCTACTGCTACTAAAATTACACCCCATATATTCAGTTTTAGATCTACTCCTGCGAAAACCTTTAGACTCTAAGGTAGACCTCCATAATTCAAGTTTACCTTCAACTCTCTCTCTAGTCTTATCAACAACAAGAATATCATCAGCAAAAAGCATACACCAAGGTTTAATCCTCTTGCAAATTTCTAGTGAGAACATCCATGACAATAGCAAAAAGATGTGGGCTTAAGGCTAATCCTTGCTGTAATACAACCAAAATAAGAAAATACTTGGTCAAACCACCTTGTATTTGAACATAGGGAAATACTTGGTCAATCCACCTTGTATTTGAACACAAGTAATAGCTCATGCATACATATCTTTAATTATTTGAATATAAGCATTATTAACTCCTTTCTTTTTAAGAACTCTCCATAGCACTTCTCTTGGAACTTTATGAAATGTTTTCTCAAAATCAATAAATATCATATGTAGATCCTCCTTATTCTCTCTACATTTTTCCATCAAACCTCTCAATAAATGTATGACTTCCATAGTAAACCTACCCAACATGAATCCAAATTGATTTTGAGAAACATTAGTATCACGCCGCAACATATGCTCCATAACTTGCTCCTATAGTTTTAAAGTATGACACATTAACTTAATTCATCTATAATTCGCACACTCCTGTGCATCACATTTATTTTTAAAAATATGAATTAGCACACTCATTCTCCACTTATCTGACATCTTTTTAGTTATCAAAATAGTATTAAAAAGTTTAGTAAGCCAAGAAATTCCTTCATCTCCTAAGCATTTCCATACCTCTATTAGAATATCATCAGGTCCAACAGCTTTTCCACACTTCATTTTCTTTAAAGTCTCTCTAACTTCAATTTTACTAATACGCCGATAAAAACAAAAATCTTTATTTTTATTTAAGGTGCTAAAGTCACTATAGTAAATCGTATTTTCACATTCTTTATTAAAAAGTTTAGCAAAATATCTCATCCACCTTTGTTAAATATCTTCTTTTAAGAAAAGTAATTTTTGATCTTCATCCTCAATACATTTCACTTGAACTAAATCCTTACTACTCATATCATTTTATTTGGCTAACTTATATATATATCTTTCTCTCCTTAATATATAATATATTATATAAATCATTAAAAACTAAGCTATTTGCATCATAAATAGCTTTTTTAGATTACTTACGAGCCTCTTTATACCTTTCCCAATTATCAAAATTTTTACATCTAAACTAATTTTTATAACAAATCTTCTCATTTTTTATCTTTTCTTGCACATTTGGATTCCACCACCAACTATTTTTACTATTAAGATATTTTTTCTTGGAAACTACAAGCACATCTTTTGTAATGCACTTAATATCACAAGCCATTTTTTCCACATAACATTAGCATTCTCATACGCAGACAAAATCTTAAGATCTAAAATCTTACTCTCAAAAATACTTTTGTTAATATTTTTTAAATGCCCCATTTAATCCTAAAATATTGTTTAACTTTATTTTTTATTTTATACTCCTTTATCTTAAAGTCCAAAATTAATAATAAATTTTTACTCGGAAAAACTTTACAATCTTTGCAATCTAAATGATCTAATTTTCTTATAAGAAAATAATCAATCTGTGTTTTACTATATCTAATTTTATAAGTCATAAGAGCTCATCTCTTTTCTTAAATAATATATTAGCTATTAAAAAATCATAAGCTAAAGAAAAATCTAATATGGTCTTACTACCTTCATTTATCATTCCAAACTCGTGGCCACCATGAATGATTTTAAAATCATCTACCTCTATACCAACATACCCATTTAAATCTGCTTAAATAAAAACTCTTTTTCTTCAAGAGATATCTTTTGTATTAATTTTTCTAAATCATTCCAAAATTTTAATTTTGAACTCATATACAAACCTACTTGAGGAGAATAAACACTTATAATATTAACAATCTTAACATCATATTTGTAAATATTGATGTCTGAAAATAAGAGGCTATTAATGATATTCTAAAATCTATATCAAATAAGTACAAATCCAAATGCAAATTTTTGATCCAAAGCATTCAATTTTGAATTAAAAACTTCCAAAAATTGTATCTTGAACAAATCGATTTTTATTTTTAAAAATTTGCAATCAAAACGATTGACTTATTATGATGATTAGTGATACCAAAATGTCAAATTTCACGTGCATTTAAATTCTAGATTGGATTAATTTGGTTATTTTTTCTCTTCTAGTCTATGATAGCACGCATGGTACAATTTGCTAGATTTTGCACAATTTATCCATTTTAATATAACCTTATGATTAATAGTTGTTACTTTTGATTGCTCTAAAAAATGAGTATTTTAATTTGAATGACATACATTGCCCCATATTTTATCTTGATAATCTTTATATAGATATCGTGGCATTTAGAGGGTAATGATTTTTGAATCAATTGGCATTGGATTATTGTCAATCCAGTTATCAAAATTTGCATCACATTATCTTTAATTGTTCTATAGTCAATATTCTACATCATCAAAATTTGCATCAATTCAAAAGGCCACTATTTTTCTTGTACATACAGGAAGATTCTAAACATAGGGTCAAGTCTCAAGTGATAAAAATTTTCAACTCTACAAATTGTTGATATACATCGAATTGAGGTATGCATTCCTGCCCCAATGCAATGTGTTAATAAAAAATTAGCTGATTTGGTCATCATGTACGGGAACCTGGAGCTGCAAGGTGTTTAATTTTAATTGTTGAATTTAGGGTTGGATAGAAATTATAAGATCATGAGTAATTAGATTTGCAACAATATTCATTATGTGCATTAACATAAGCATGATTTACAAACATTCATCACCAGTAAGGCTTACATTAGTTCAAAGTTATGTAATACAATCAAGGGAAAAAAGGCAGCCTCAATTATTTTGGATACAAGGTTCTTGAATGACAGTTTAATAATTTCTAAATTATCAGGCATCGAATTAATTTGTTAAGAATTGTTGATGCAGATGAAAATCCATCTCTTGGATACCTTCATGATAGTATGTACAGAGCTAGAAAAGCAATGAAGGTCATGTTTAGAAACAGTAAAGAAATGTACAAGCCCTTCATTAGTATTATTAAGAGAAGATGGGATAATCAACTGAGACAATGGATACATTCAGCAGCTTATTTTCCTAACCCTCATTTTCAATATGACTTAAAATAACTGCAACAAGCCTGAAGTTATGCAAGGTCTAAAAAAATTGATTGGCAATAAAGATATTTGTGCTAAACCATCTTTGGCAATGAATGATGTGAGACTATTTCGTGATAATTAAGAAAGTTTTGCAAAGTCAATTGCATTAATGTTGGCAAAAGAAATGCAACTTGGTAAGATGACAAAATTTTGAGATTTTATTTAAATATTTACGTGAACTATGATGCTTTATTTACAATAAATATATTTGAACAAATCAAAGCATGTTTTATTGATTTGTAGATAAATGATGGAAGATGATCAGCTCTAGTGCACCAAACCTAAAGAAAGAGGCTATTAGAAGTCTTAGTTAGACATCATCTTCATCAGATTGTGAGAGGAACTAGAGTGTGTTTGAGCAGATTCATACAAAAATACGAAATAATCTTGAGCACAAAAGGCTAAAAGATCTAGTATATGTTTGTTACAATCTCAATTTAAAAAATAGGCATTGTTTGAAACAATTTTAAATATCTTTTTAAATAATGATGCACATCTTACTATCAAATTTTTTTATAACAATTATGTAGGTTGTAACTTAGAAAAAGAAGTTATAATCATTTGGACAACACAAGTATTGAACTTGTTGGCTTTTGGATCTTTGATGATGAGTCAACTCCATAATTGCTTCTAAAAGACTTGGAGACAGAAATTTACAAACTTGATGCAATTCCTATAGATATAGAATCAAACATAACATCAATTGGTCCAACCCCAAGTAAGATTGTAAAATCACATATATCTTTTTAGTGTAATATAAAATATAAACTTATTATTTCACATTTATAGTTTGCAGATGAAGACAACTTAGCTAATACAAATGATGAAGATGACAAATCAAGGAAGGATGAAGAAGCATTTGTGATGCAAGAATTTGGTGGAGGGTTAGGGAATTCCATCTTTTAATCTCACAAATTTAGTTGATGATTATTAGATCATTAGGAGTGTTTTGAGTTTTGAGTTTTCATTGTAAACAGATATAAACAATTGAATGACAATTATTATTTTTTTCTCTATGATATTAATTTCTGACTTTATTATCTATAAAGAATAGTTTGATATGAAAATGGAATGTAGAGTAAATGTATTAGAGGAAAATTTCTCATTCATTTTATTAATTTTTAATAATATTATTATTTATTACGTCATCAGGTTCGACCCCGGTTCTACCGATCAAACCGGTCAAACTGTGAACCTCTCCTTCTTCCGGCTCGTTATCCAGTCCGATTTTCACAACATTGTGTAAATGTACTATTTAAAAATAGCACACTATAAAGATTACTTGTGGATCATTTATATAATCCGATTATTATTGAGAAATCTTTGATCACTCCATAAAAACTTAAGATACTAATAAAAAGTCTAACATACGTATCTTGAAAGGTTGAGGATTGATGTTAAAATTTATGAACAAAATGGATCCAGATTTAATGTTCGAAAATATGCTGCAACTAAGAAAAAATATAGCAATCTGGACCCCGCCTCTCAGTATTACATCGTGAAAGCAATGCAATACAAAGTATGGTCTTCCAAAGGCTTATAGAGCGAAAGCCCAGTAAAATTTAGACTTTAAGAAAATACTACAACAAGCCCAAAATATGAAAAGAATGATATAAGGCAAGCTTAAAACAGTAAGTCTATCAGATGTGAAATTAATTAAAATTATGCTTACAGATGAAGTGGTCCCTCACGCGCCTCAGTGCAATGTTTTCCTCACCGGCACCGCTAATGCATTCTCTACATAACGTACAATCTCGTGGCCTAGAAACAACCGCCTTCTTCATAGCTGTTTTAAAAAAAATGGTAACAAGCAATAAGCCAATAATAAGTAAAGCACTTTGAAATTTACCACTTCAGATTATTCATCAATAGCAGCAGGAGATTTCGTGCTATCAGAAAGAAAAAAGCTCCTTTCCAATACCAGCAATTTAAAATTCTAAACAACAGTTAAGAGCTACCTACGCAGGCAGAGCATACACACACACATAGAGTGTGAGAGATTCATACTATAGTTCAATCAATTGGACCAATTTTATGAGACAAAGATCAGTTTATAATTACAATTTCATGGCCAGATATTTTTAAATTTTATGAAAGGCACTGAAATATATTAATATTAAAGGAAAGTTTAGAGTGACGTCTATTAACAATAAGATAACTAAAAATAGAGAAGTTGTTTGGACATTTACAATGAAGATTAAATATAGAAAATACATTTGTTAGACATGTTGATAAAATTAGTATCAAAGAATTAAGAAGGAAAAGAGTTGAACGTTCCATTATTTGGATGGAGTTTTTGAAATAATTTATGAAGAATAGTTCTAACACATCAGACCACTCAAAAAGAACAAATGAGAAAATAAGGATTCATAATGTCAACCCCAAATTATTGGGACGAGGCTAAAGATATACTGATAAAGCTGATGAAATAAATTACACAAGTATCTTAAAGAACAGTTTGGGAATAGCATTGAATTTTATCTTAGAAATGTTTCTTATAAGTTGATTCATTATACTCTTGCATTTTACAAATTAAAATCAATGAATATGTTCTAATTAGAATTAAAAATATGTACTAAACGCTAGGCAATTTGAAAAGACACCAGATAACAATAAAGAATTTCTCTGAGATTCAAGCAATACTATAAGAAAACTTTCTTTGCAAGTGAAGGAGATCAAAAATCGAAGTGCATGTAATGATATTTTGATTATATTAAAGATGATAGGCAATGTACATCATCATGTAGATTGAAGACCTAAAATATGAATGGAGTAGAAAGACGTAGATTGATGTTTTTCCAGTCCAGTATTTCATATCACCAAAAATACAACATAAAGTTGTTTGTGATGTTGAAAGAATGCTCCTCAGTTGTGAAACTGTTAGAATTCATAGAATTTGAGAAGGGTAAAAATACCTTCTACTTATTATACAAAATTATCCATATTTATAGATCTATACAAGATGTCTTAATAAAGAAATAAATAACTTCTAATTGATACGTAATTGCCTCAATATAATCTTTTCTAATTCAGCCACCCAAATACATAAGGATATTGGCGTGATCCATGTGAGCCTCCCACGGATTCTCATCCTAACCGTGGGATCAAATGCCAAGGGATGACTGAGATTTTGACACTCCCCCTCAAGCTGGAGACCAGCTTGCAATTACTCGCTTAGAGGTAGAGCTACATTGGTTATAGATAGGATATCAACCACAAGAGAAAGCCGGGAATGAAGGCCGATGATGGAAAACTATCCTCAAAATTCCGACAATTAAGGCCGGTTGTGGAAACTTGTATTTCTTGAAATTCCAGCAATGAAGGCCAGTAGTGGAAACATGTATTTCTCATAATTCCAGCAATGAAGGCTGGTAGTGGGAACCTGTATTTCTCATAATTCCAGCAATGAAGGCCGGTGGTGGGAACTTTGTATTCCTCGGAAATTCAGCAATGAGGGCTTCTCGGAGAAAATTTCCCTTGTCGACAATAAAGATCGATGATAAATATTTTCTCTCCTTGTTTTCACTATTTTTTTTTAATAAATCAAACCAGTCGAGCCTTTAAAAAAAAGGCTCGGATCGGGACAAGGGCATGGGTTTGGGCTCCTCCACCGAGCAAGATCCAAAGACAGAAACGGGAAAGGGGAAGACGGACAGAGAGGGGACTTGCTCGTGCGATCGGGACTTTGTGCGGTTCCTGTCGATCGAGCAAAAGAGCAGCGAAGGATCGGGCTTCCGTTCTCTCTCGTTCAGCTTCGTTGCTTCTCTCGTTCAGCGATCGAGACTTCGTGCTTCACTTTCTCTTTAGCAATTGCATCCACCTCAGTGCTTCACTGTTCCGCCTCATCTCCTTAGCCACCTTTTGTCAAGCATCGACACTACAAGCACTACCTCCAACTAACCCCGGCTTTTATACAAAAAACACCACCAAGGTACAGCATTGCTTCTCCCAATTTGACCCTGACAAGCTCCGACCAACCTCGATTGGCATCTACAACCATCTGCTCCACTCAAATAGAACCAACAATCACTTTGTATAAGCCTCAATCGCCATCCTGAAATACAATTGCTTCTCCATCTAGGATCATTTCATTGTCTTTCTCCGCTCAACCATTTATTGTGCGACCTGACTTCATATCATGCAATCAAATTCATCTACAAACCCTCGACGCATAAAGTGTCATCTATGTTCCATGCTATCTTGCTTAACATCCCCTTTTGTACAATCAAGCTTTAAAAAGGGCGTTTTAAAAGCACCAAAAGTAATCGAAGTGATCACAAAATGCTCTAACATATGAACATCAAAGAGTTGTAGTGTACACTTCATGAAACGCTTTAAAGTATAGAGAACTTATTCTTCATTTTTTTTTAGTCCTGATCCTAATTCAACTTTTTATGTTATATTCAAAAAAGAAGGAATATGAGATAAAATAATCAAAATAAGAAAAACTCATTACTTCTCACTTATCTAGAGATCCCACTTTTGCAACTTCAAGAAAATAATTTAATGTCATTTCCACCTTATCAACTCTTTTGTCACATCTTGCCTTTCACCCCCATCCTCTACATACACTTTTCCAATCAACCTTATTGATAACTTTTTTTAAGATTATTAAGTATATTCACTCCTCCATTCATCCAGGTGCAACACTCTTTCTTTTTTTTTTACTAATCTCCTCTATTTTAACACCGTCATTGTCAGGTCCCAAGTCCTGGATGAGAAAAGTGAAGGGTTGCATTAGGTAGTCGATAGTCAACATAAAACTTGTCGAATAATCATGACATGAATCATTTAAAAAATTGTTTTAATGTTAGGGCGTTTCCTCGAAATGACGCGTTGTATGACCTGAATATAGTGACAAGTGTGCAAGGGCTGCTGCATCGGCGCCCGGGTGCAGTGTTAAATAGGTAAGAGTTCCCACGTCATGGACGGATGTGAGAAAAGTAGTCCATGAAACTAAAATTCATATAGGATCTTGGAATGTATGATCTCTTACATGCAAATTAATGAAATTAATTGATATCATAACTCATAGGAAAATAAATATTTTATACATTCAAAAAACTAAATGGGTTGAAGAGAAGGCTAGGTAGATTGATAGTTTATGATTTAAACTTTGATATTCTAGTAGAAGTTGTATTAAAAATGATGTATGTGTGATTATAAATAAGAGTTTGCATGATAATGTTATTAAAATTGACATAATTATAACTTTGAATATTATTGTTGATGCTAAAATTATTAATATTATGTGCTTATGCTCCTCAAGTTGGTTTGGACATGTGATTAAAATTAAAATTTTGAAATGACTTAGAAGAATTAACTTAAAAGATACCTCTTGAACAAAGAGTTTTTATTGGAGGACATTTAAATGGACATGTTCGTAGAGAGATTGAAGATTTTAAAAGTATTCATGATGGCTATGAGTTTGGTGCAACTAATGAAGGTGGTAAGACTATATTAGATCTTGCTCTAGCTTATGATTTTATAATTGCTAATATCTAATTTAAGAAAAAAGATGAGCATCTCATCACTTGTAAGAATATATATAATAAAACTCATATTGATTATTTTTTTATAAAAAAATAAATCATTTAAATTGCAAATATTGTAAATGTATTCTGAGTGAAAGTTTAAATAATCAACATTGCTTATTAGTTTTGAACTTTAAGATGAATGGACGAAATATGAAAAATATAGTAAAATATTGTTCTAAGATTAGATGGGGGCATCTAAAGAACACTAAAAAATATATTTTTGAAAGTAAAATTCGAAAACTTAAGATTTTGTCGGTGCATGAGAAAGCAAATGTTATGTGGGAACAAATAGCTAGTAAATTAAGAATGTTGCAAGAGATGTACTTGAAGTTTCAAAATCAAAAGTCCTAAAAAAAATAGTTGGTGGTTGAATCAAAATATGCAAGAAAATATCAAAAATAAGAAGCATTGTTATAATAATTGGTTTAGTTGTAAAAACTCTGAAAATTAGGAAAAGATATAAAGAGGCTCGTAAGGTGTCTAAGAAAATAATCTGCAATGCAAAATTTTTAGCTTTTGAGGATTTATATAATAGATTAAATTCTAAAGAGGGTGAAAGATATATGTATAAGTTAGTCAAACAAAAAGATAATAGTAAAGATTTGATTCAAGTGAAGTGGATAAAGGATGAAGATCAAAAAGTGTTTTTTTAGAAGAGGATATTCAACAAAGATGGATGAGATATTTTGCTAAGATTTTTAATGAAAATTGTGAGAATACAATTGACTTTAATGACCTTCATACTCTAAATAAAAATAGAGATTTTTATTTTTATAGACGTATTAATAAAGCTCAAGTTAGAGAGGCTTAAAAAAAAAGGAAGTGTGGAATAACTATTGGACTTAATGATATTCCAATAGAGGTGTGAAAATGCTTAGGAGATGAAGGAATTTCTTGACTTACTAAAGTTTTTAATATTATTTTGATGAATAAAAAGATGTCAAATGAGTGGAGAATGAGTGTGTTAATTCCTACTTTAAGAATAAAGATAATGCACAAGATTGTGCGAATTATTGAGGAATTAAGTTGATGTGTCATACTTTAAATTTTTGGTAGAGAGTCATGAAGCATAGGTCACGACGTGATACTAATGTTTCTCAAAATCAATTTGGATTCATGTCGAGTAGGTTTACTATGGAAGTTATTCATTTATTGAGAGGGTTGATAGAGAAGTTTAGAGAGAATAAAGAGGATCTACATATGATATTTATTGGTTTAGAGAAAGCATATGATAAAGTTCCAAGAGAAC